AGCACTAGAGTGAGAGGCAAGTTGAAATTCATTCAGCCAGCAACTTATCAAGGACTGTAGTTTCCATTCCAAACATTTTGAAACAGAGAAATTCATGGGCAGCAGACAGAGAAACCTCACTTTCATTTCCAAAGTGGCACTCACACCAACTCTGAGATATGTCAGTGCACAATTTGCAAAGCACCATATGAAACCGGAAACTCCGTGAAAGTACATTCCAGGTTGATAGCTTTGCTCTAGGTTAATGCATAGAGGACTAAGAGGAAACAAACCGCGATGACCCAGCAGAAAATAACTTTTAAAAGAGGGGGGGGGATCATCGGTACCCGGAAAAAAACAAAAGATTCACCGGCCAGTGAAACGAAGTAGGAGGAAGGTTACCAAGTCTGAAACAGAACAGACTTAAACCAAAACTAGGCACAAAAATAAAAGGAAAATCAACCATTCCCACCGATCAGCTCCTATCAGGGGGACGTCCTGGACAGGTCTAGGTAAAGCTGACCCAAGAACCCTTGCCAAGGTCGCAGCACCTGAGTGGCCAGAGAGGCCTGGACCCGTTAAAATTACCCTAAACTGCCCCTCTCTTGGGGTGCCCCCTAACCAGGCTGCTGCGAGGGCTGTGCGGAGAGGATGCCGTCCCATCCTACTCCCCTCCCCCGCCTCCAAAGGCGGGCTCGGTGTCCGGAGAAGAAAGAAGCGGAGAGAAGGGGGGTGGAAAAGCGCCAGCTAAGTCAGGAGGAGAAACGTTGCAAACAAGGGGGAGGCGCGCGGCTGTCCTGCCAAGATAACCCGGCGGAGGCGAGAAGGAAGGCAACGCCGCTCAGGTGAGAGCAGGGCAGAGACCGCCGCCGACTCGCGCGGAGAGGAGGAGGAAAGGAGGAGCGGCAGCCTTTTTTTTTTGCCCGCACGCCTCGTGAAGGAAACACGAGTAGGAGAGGCGCGGCGTTAAGGGGACCGCCCCGCACCCTCCGCTCGCCCCAGGAGCCCCGGCGGCGCTTTTCAGGTGAAGGAGGTCAGTACCTTTCTCCTCCCGCCAGAGCTTTTTCCGCTTGTTCCCGGGGTACATGGTGCTGTGGCTAGCGGCGGCTTTGAGCTGCAGGTTCCCCAGGCTCACGGGCGAGAGAGAAGCACGCTGGGGTGGCGAGAGTGGCAGCGTCGGTGTCGGCGGCGTCGGCGGCTGTTTGCACCTCTGCCTCCTTCCCACTCCCCGCTCCTTCCAGCGCGCGTCAACTGGGTCACGCCTCGTTCTAACCCGACAGACACCCCCGCAACGCCCGCCTCCTCGCCCGCCGCCCGTTGGCCTTGCGAGACGCCGTTCAGAGACGCGCCCCGCCCACTTGCGCTCTGGAGCTCACGGCGGAGGGGGGAGGGGGAGGCTTTTTAAAGGGGCAGGACGCGAGTAAGTGCGCTGAAGAAGTGCGGGACGGAGCACAAAGCAAACAAACACAGCGCCAGCGGAAGCTCGCTCCCGTGTCGGTTGAGAAGAAATGACGGCATTCGGGAGGGTTTTGTCACCTTGGGGTGCCTCGAGAGTGGCGGCTGGCTCCTTTGGGGCATGCATGCTCGTTCGCTCTTGCGTAAGTTTCAACTGTGTGTCCCAAGGGTGCTTTTGCACGAGGCAACTGGGCTTCCTTCTTTTTTCTATCCCGTCAGAGCTGAAGAAGCTTCTTGGATGAGAAGCGAAATGTCTTGAAAAGAAAAAAAAAACCTTTGGGACAGCCATGACTTGGTTGACTGAGAATCCCTACAGACTTTTAGCTATATAATTTGGGGTGAACATCCTTTGAATGGTGTGGGAATAGGAATGGATTTCCAGAAGGGGGGAAAGTGCAGACTACAGGAGCCAGGAGCACTACTCGGGTTACCCAAGGACACAGATAAACCTCCAAGTGCTTCAAATCGCCCTCTAAAAGGATGCAAATGACCAGCTGTCTGCAAGGAACACAAATCCTTCCATTCTCCCATGATCATGTCAGAGCTGAAGAAGCTTCTTGGATGAGAAGAAAAAACAAGAAAGTCCAGTTGCCTCCTGGAAAAGCAGAGACAACCATGACCTGGAAGACTGAGAATCTCTACAGGCTTTCTACTGTGTGGGTCTCCTGCTTAGGCATGTGGGGTGGGGGTTGGAGTGGATGACCTACAAGGTCCCTTCCAGCTCTGTTAATCTGAAGCTTGCTTGCTCCAAATCAGCGTGTGCCTGCAATTAATTGGAGGGAGGCGACAGACCCAGTGAACGCCATGGGATTTTCCTCTATGCCTCGTTGATTAATAATGCTTCTTTCTGAGTGGGTACAGTGTAGGGTTGTTCTGCAACTTCTGAATAAATGTGGTTTGCGCTTTGCTTAATTTCATCGCCCACACTCAAGTGTTTTGATTAATGTTCTTACTCATTTATGTGCATAAAAATCTTCCCATTAAGGTAAGTTTAAGAACTATAAGAAATGTATTAATGCCACTGGCAATAATATTATAAGTAAAACATCTCTGGGCTCAGGTTTACATTTTTACGTTCAATGGGATGATTTACGTTCTCCTTCCACTCCAGATTTTCTCTTATTATTTATCTTCTATTCCAAATATGTCTGCACCTGCTTTTAGGTACATTCTCATAAGACCCTTTGGGGTTAAAGTTTGGGTTTGGTGATACGTTTACTATATTTGGAGGGTTAAGAGAAGGCTGTACCAAAGCAGCAAAGTAATGCAAATGCTTTATTGTGGATCTAAAGCCAGGTCCTTTCAGGAATTTACCAACAATCTTGCTTTGCCGAGTTGCTCAGTTTTGTAGCTGTAGCACACTTGGCCAGAGACTGAGGGCTCTGCCCTCCTCTGTTAAGCTGTGTTTCATGAATCCTTTACAACGGTTCATTTAGTGACCTTTCAAAATTACAATGGCACTGAAATAAGTGACTTATGACCATTTTTCACATTTATGGTGATTGCAGCATCCCCAGGATCACACAATCAAAATTCAGATTCTTGGCAGTGATTGGTTGCAATGTTGATTGCAATGTCCTGGGGAATGTGATCACCTTTTGCGACCTTCTGACAGGCAAAGTCAAAGGGGAAGCCAGATTCACTTAACAACTGCATCACTAACTTAATAACTGCAGTGATTCACTTAACTGTGGCAAGAAAAGTAAAAATGGGCCAAAACCGACTTAACATATGTCTCACTTAGAAACTGAATTTTAGGGTTCAATTGTAGTCATAAATTGTGGACTACCTGCATTCATTTGTGGCTATTTCTGTGGTTTCACGATAGAACACATACTATTGTTCAACTTCTAATTGGAAAAAAAAAATTATACCTTTCCGTTCTTCTGAATTATTTCTGGATAAAAAGCAGTGATCTCCAAACCAACCTTTCTAAGCTAATAGACAGATTGGAAATGTTGAGAATTTTATTTTTAATCTACCATACTGGATACCTGTTCATTCATTGTTGTTAAAAGGATGTAATCAGACTCAAAGCATCATTTTGCCATAGTAGTTTCTGCCATAATTTCTACTACATACAGACACTCGTAAACTACTCTAAATACATACCTTTGTCTTTTTTTTGGTAAGCAAATGTATTTCTTCGGAAACAAATACTGAGCTGCAGCATGGTATATTTTTAAAAAAGACAAAGCTTCATAGGATTCTTTCTGACCCATAGATGCTATCAGAAATAGAAGTATTTTTGGGGGGCTAGGACTAACAGATCTTGGCTGCAAAATTACAAATGATTACTACATTCGTTTATTGTATTTATTTATTAATCAAATTTCTATATCTGCCATATTACAAAATGCAACTTTGGGCAGTGTGGAACAATTGGTAAGCATTAAATATGTTTACATTATACAATACAACCGCAGAGTTGCAAGGGACCTTGGAGGTCTTCTAGCCCAACCCCCTGCCTAGGCAGGAAACCCTATACCGCTTCAGACAAATAGCTATCCAACATCTTCTTAAAGACTTTCAGTGTTGGGGCATTCACAA